AATTGATTGTCACTTTATTCGGAACAAGATAGTAGCTTGGGAGATTACAACTTCATTTGTGAAATCTGAAAATCAGCTTGCAGATATGTTTACCAAAGCATTGAGTCGTACACGTCTTACAGCGATTTGTTCTAAGTTTGGGATATATGATATATATAGTCAAGCTTGAGAGAGAGTGTTAAGAATATTAGGGTAGTATGTAAATTGTTAATAGTAAGAGGGTGTATGTGTAATTTTTATTATTGTGAGTTAACTATAAATACAAGTGATGTATGAGAGCTAAATTAAGTTTTTAACCTCTCTGTTTCTCTCTAAGATTATGTTAATCTTCTACACTTAACAATTATAATAGTCTTAAATATAATAAGAATATTTTGTTCGGGGAGAATTAATTCGGCCTGGGCAAACAAGATTTGTCATTAATTATATTGCCCTGCAAAGTATTTTGAAATAGAGAAATAGCTTGCAAAGGATGTTTACTTCAAAAGATTGGTCTAGGTCCGCGGCAGCAAAGGATCCAGCTGGAAAGAAAGGGCAAGGGACAATTCTAAATCCTAACTTTTGGGAGAATGTCAAAAATGTGCTAAATATGCATATACCTATTGCAACAGTTCTAAAAATGGTGGATGAGGAAAAAAAAAGTAACAATGTCATATGTATATAAAGCAATGAAACGAGCAAGACAAGCTATCAAATATGCAGCTCCTAAATGGTGTAAGATATATCTTGCCCTCGTTGAAGCGGGCAAGGTAGTCATGAAGGCTTTCTTCCTTATCCTGCTTGATGGTGAGCAGGTGGGTCACTGGTTTTTGATGGCGACGTCCCCCAATGAAGTGGAAGTCGAATGACCTACTTAGTTCCGCGAAAGAGCGGATGGAGGAAGGCCTGAGCTGGAGAACCACTGGCGAGCAGACCCTTTGAAGGTGGTAGGGAAAGCCCTACACATGATCTCCTCCGGCACATTGTGGAATTGCATGAGGGACTTGTAGGTATCCAAATGGTCAAGGGGGTCTTTGGTGCCGTCGAAGATCTCGATGGTGGGCATCTTGAACTTCGAAGGCAACGGGTAATTAATAATGTCAGTAATAAAAGGAATATCAGTACGCCTCACCAAATAGTCCACAATTTCAGGCGCCTGTGCCTTGATGGCGTTGAGGGCATTACCAAGTTGGTCCTGCACTTCCTTGATCTTCTCATCCCACTGGTTGGGGATACCTTCAATCGGGTGATGGTACTAGCTCTCATGGTCTCCATATTGACTTTCTCCTTCATCCTCCTGCGCAGGCACGTGCGAAAGGGGAACACATGCGCTCCCTGCGCGTTGAGGAGGGATCGCTTGACGAGGGGCTCCCTGACGTTGCCCTGGAACATTCTGGCGAGGGACTTGGCGCCCAGAAGAGACGGGTAGCGGCTCCTCTCCCGTTGGCGGGAGTGGGACTCCCCCTGCGAGATGATGGGTGATGCCCCCTTGGTCGAGCATTAACTGGATCATCTGCTGGTTTTGTTTCACCAGCAATTGCATAGTCTGTAGAAGCTGCTGCTGTTGTCTAATGGTGGGAGGCACCGTGGCAGAGGGTTCTGAAGGTGCGAGGGGAGGTGGAGCCTCTTCCTAGTGCGCAGGGTTGTTGTCTCCCGGTTGATGAGACCTTGCTCAGGTCTTGATTGCCATGGATTGCAAGAAGGTTGAAAGGTAGTAGAAACTTTGTCGGTTCCCACAGACGGCGCCAAACTGATGATGTACAAATCAGTTTTGTGCAAGATCAACAGTCAAGCATACAAACGGTGTAATTAATGAACGAAAAATAAGCAATCAATGGCAATCAAGAATAAAAATAATAATTAAGCAATCAACACAGAGATTTATAGTGGTTCGGTCTCGGATGACCTACTCCACTATCGGGAATGGCAGCGGTGGCCGGTGTTCTTTATTGATGAGTGATGGTACTCCGAAGAGTTATAGTACTTTTGGGGAGACAGAGAGAAAACAATGAGTATAAGGTTCGGAGGCGTTGGAGGCGTGTCCTCAATGTTGAGAGGGCTTACATTATATAGCTAGGGTAAGGTAGTGGAGGCGGTGACGTGAGGGAAAAGAATTTCATAGCTTTGGCAAGTATTGTTATGGTAGAAGATCTTCTATGTCAATCTCCATATTATCTTCCCTCGTGCTCCTATTCATCCGGAGGAGAACGTTAGTTGGATTGAGCTTGACCTGGACTTGGACTTGGACTTGGACCTGGACCTGTCTTGGCTTGGACCTGGAGTTCCAAAGTGAAGAGGAGCGAAGAGGGAGGCGCCCAAGGGGCCAGCCTAGGCGACACCCAAGGGGCTGCAATGGGCGGCGCCCAAGGGGCCAACCTAGGAGGCTGCCATGGGCGACGCCCAATTGCTAAGTCTCTTGGGCGTTGGCCTTGGGGCTTTGGTTGTTGACTTCTTGATGTCTTCTTTTCCAATGGGTCGATCTAGTTTAGAGTTGGACTTTCCTTCGACCTTTCTTGGATTGTTTTCATTGGGCCTAGCCCAGTTAAATTTGTGCTCATCACTTATAACAACAAAAAAAAAGCAAAAGACTTGCACAGCAGTGGAGTATTAAATATAATTACAGTAGATATTAAATATAATTACGATGGGTATTAAATATAATTACAGTAGGGTATTAAGTGTAATTATTTATTTTTATAACAAAAATTATAAAAAGGCAGAAGAGCAGTGGGAACTAAATGTAATTATAGTAGGGTATTAAATATAATTATAGTGAGTATTAAATGTAATGACAGTGGATATTAAATATAATTATAGTGGGGTATTAAATGTAATTATTCATAATGAACCGAATATATCACTATTTCGTCGAAATGGTATTGTTTCGATCGAAACGGTCCAAAACAGTGTCGTTTCGACTGAAACGGTTACGTTTCGACCGAAACACTAGAATTTTGTGATTCAACTACTGTTTCGTTTCGGAGTGTTGAAATTCCGAAACGTTTCGGACGTGTCGACACCATAGTTATCAAATCGTCTATCGGAAGGCGTATCGTAAGATACAAATATTGTATCGTATCGTGTATCGTATCGTGTATCGTAAGATACGATGCAATTTTAAATAAATAATAAAAAAATATATATACCTTTGAAAAAAAGTCATACACTCATAAAAAATATAACATTTCATTAATATTCCACCAACTATTCAAGTTATCAACATAATCCACTACTATTATAATGCAAAGTTCACAACCATAGTTCACTAATTCAAACTTTAAACACCAAAGAGACTTCTAATCCAAATTTCTAACATCCATTTTGAACTCAATCTTCAATTTCAATTGAAAATGCATCATCATCATCATCATTGTGATCGGATGCCAACAAGTCTTCACTTGTCGTTTTTTTTTAAAAAAAAATCAGAGCACAAAACGACGTCGTTTTTAAAAAAAAAAAAAAAAAAAAAAAAATTTGCACGTATCGTGCGTATCGTACCGATACGTATCGTATCGTAAAAACGTATCGTGTATCGGACGATACAACGCAAAAACAATACATATCTACGATCCGTATCGTTTTAGGGCTGTATCGTAACGTATCGTACGATACGTATCGCGTATCGTACGATACTAACAACTTTGGTCGACACGACATTTTGATCCTTGATGTTTATACACTTGCACAGACCCACACCTATATATGTATGTATGTGTGTGTGTGTGTGTGTGTATAGTTTTCTAGATTGATCAGAGATCGCAACTTACGACAACAATGGTGTGTGAATGGCCACTATCAGATGGGGTTTGAGGTTCAAACCTATAGGCATCTGTCCCCAAAACAGATAGCCAACTAAGCTAAAGATATTGATTAGATTCACTTGCAGTAGTTTTATCCCCATTCAAGTGCCCCTTTAATAAACTAATAATCGACCAGAATCAAAAGAAGAGAATGAAGCCTCGCTTTCCAATACCGAAACTAATGACTCCTTGCTAGATCAAATAAGACATAGCAATGAACCTTATCTCATTGATGGACATCGATGATACATACACACAAAAACATCCCATTGTAAAGGGAAGGAACTATAAATGGTTTCAGGTATAGAATGTTTATATATGGGGGATTATAACAAGATCAGCATCACCATTAGCTAAATAAAGCTAAAAGGTTCATCAAAAATCTGTTGATGGTAGCATGACTACATTTATTTAGAGAACTGCTCAGCAAAATGAAACTAGAATAATTTAGTTTAACCTCATCTAATTGACAAGATGCTGTAGCATCCAAGAAAGAACTAGGAAGGTGTGATGGAGAACCAATTTATGTTAAGTGAATCCATTCTTACCAGTTGGAAGTGCATTCGGTGGATGTATATTAATGAGAACTAAGGAAAAAGTCTATAATTTATAGGGATCAACATAGCTTCTAAATGCAGAATGTTTACAGGTAAGCAGTAAAAACTACAATATTATGTTAGGGACAAGAGAGAATAAGATAAAGAGAGAGAAACAGAATGCGAGAAGATGAGAATAATCTGTGTATGTGCTAGGTTTGCCATTCACCTCTTATTTATAATAAATTGATATATTTCTGCACCACAGTAATTATCCAAGAAGTATTTCCAAAACATCCTCTAGTAGCTAGATTTCTAAAATCATCAAACATATTTTTCCATTTACTAAGTAAGCATGGATAGTTATATATCTGCATAGGAGTCGAACAAAATTACTATAGAAAAATATCACTCCTTCAATCATCTTTACCTGAATGACACGAGAAGATTCCAAATAAAATTCTCTAAACCATAAGAAACCAAGATCTGTCAAAGTTCCAACAGTTGCTGTAACAAAGTAACACCACAGTTTTAGCAAATGTCAGCATTTTATGGAAATGGTTATTGCAAGTTGCCAAGGAAACCTACTGCATTTCTTTATAAATACATTATATGCACATATCAAGGACAATGATAAGACGAGCATAATCAATCAGTGGAGCCTTAAGATATCTGCCAGACTGACTCAAAGCAGAGTCACAGGATCGGGGTGTTCCCGTGCTACATCCCCATCACCAGGGTGGATGTCACCAATTGCGAGAATTCCCCTCCAGCATACAATCCCTTAGAAACCAAGTGCTAAAATATTCTCAAGTATTTATTTTTCAAGACTACCTTTCAGTATTTCAAAATGACTTTCTGCAATATTGTACTATTTTTTTCTGTGAATAGTGAATCTTAGAAGAGTTTTAACTAGGCTCTCTATAACGCGATCATCGTGTCTTCATTCCAAAGACACTTATAATTTTTTGATACTTTGCAAATTTTGACCTTCTCTTTTGATACAAAGCTGTACACCACCTACAGCTATGATTATCGCATTTAAGGAAATGCCTTTTCTGCTCTAATGTGTATATGCCATTCTTCAAATCTTAACGAATAATAAGGATTATAATTCTTCATGGAAAGTCATACATATCTAATTGAACATAAAATTGAAGCTCATATTGTCAACAAAGACCAATCTCTCAAATATCAAATGTCATAGAAGTATATCATATCTTCTGAATTGCATTTAGCCAAATAAATGACAATTTTCAAGAACCTGTGTAGTCTAGTATGTGCAGGAAAAAGCTAAGCTTGTAGAAGAAGGTCTCCAATTGCTTTAAATCATTAACAGGAATCTCAGAGCCACAATTTCCAAATAGTCCCCCTGGCTTCCTCATATTACCACCTGATACCACCTCATATATCAGGAACTGCAAGCAATGGACCTGATAAAGAGAAAGAGAGATAAGGAATGATTAAACTCAAATTCCTTCATTTTCTGACATAGAACTGCACTTAAATAATTCAAAATATGCATGTCCAATTATCTTAACAAAAAGAAGACAATATGTTGAGCCGGGGTAACTATAACCCTCACCTAAGTGACTCAAAGGACTAGCACATGATTTTCCATAAATGGATATATGTCAAGCCCATGTTTCTATTTCTACTATTAATTTATCTTCTTTTCGTTTGAGTCCAAAGGCATCTAATTTTTATTTATAGCATTCTTGCCTGGGTCGTGTTTCTCATTCTCGTTTAATATTTTTAACTTCTCCTTATAGTTTGGGTAGTTTAGAAAGTCATGACATTCCTGATTGTAGTAAATACAAGTTGGCTAGTGCATTACCTTTCAATAAAAGTGTTACTTGCACCATTTGATCTTGTTTATTCTGATATATGTAGACCAACTCCTGTTCTTACACAAAGAGGGTCCAGATATTATATTTTCTTTATTGATGATTTACGAGGTACTGTTGGGTATACTTGATGAAATGTTGGTTTGAATTCTTTTCGATTTTCACTGTATGCGGTAACATGGTCCGCACTCAATATTCCGCGGTTATTAAATGTTTTTGATGTGATCAAGGAGGTGAGTACAATCTTACTTCTTTTCGTGATATGTTGAAATCTGATGGTACACTTTATCAATACTCTTGCACTAACACACCTAAGTAGAATGGTATTACTGAACGTAAACACCGTCATATTCTAGAGACAGCATGCTCCCTTCTACTATCGGCACATGTTTCCAGCTCATTTGGGGTGAAGAAATTCTTACAGTAGTTCATTTGATCGACTGTATTCCTACTATTCTCACCTCTGGAGTCTCCCCATTTGAAAAGTTGTGGTAAGCCACCAAACTAATTTTTTTTACGTGTGTTAGGGTGTACTTGATGTGTTTTGCTCTATAGGGTTCTTAGTACCAAACTTTCTGCTCGGTCAGCTTTATGTGTCTTTCTTGATTATGGTGAGAGTCAAAAAGATAATCATTACTATGATCCTATTACCCACAAACTTTATGTCTCTCGCCATGTTATCTTTATGGAGCATATTCCCTTCTTTTCAATTTCATCTAGTTTTTTCCTACTGAATAAGTCTCACATCCTTTTCTTGCTAATGTTCCTCATGGCATATATGATAGTGATTTAACTATGTCAGATCCTTACCCTTCTAAGTTAACTGTTCCTCATCTCCCTACTAAGTATACATATCTTCGCAAGACTCCAGCTCTCTCCTATATAAATACGGTGCCTCCCCTTTCGCCTTCTGCCACCCAATCAGGTTCAGGCACTATAAATCATATCTCACACTATCCTCAATGATCTCGCAAATGTCTAAACAGATTTGGTTGAAGTAACACTTGATATTCTCAAGACTTTTTTTTCTTTCTTTACTTCTATTCACTCCCTATCTAAACCCACCTCCTACAAGGAAGCTTTACTTGATCCAGTTTGAAAATAAGCTATGGATAAGGAGTTGTCTACCTTATATAAGACCAGAGGTTGGGTGCTAGTGCCTTTACCACCTGGTAAACGTACCATTGATTTTAAGTGGGTTTATATTATAAAAATCAAGTTTGATGGTTCTGTGGAATGGTATAAAGCTCGATTAGTAGCTAAGAATTTTGCTCACAAGTATGGTCCAGACTACGATGAGACTTTTGCCCCTATTGCGAAGATGACCACTGTTTACACCTTGATTGTAGTTGCTGTCATTCGCCAATGACGTTCATCTTAGATGAATGTAAAAAATGTCCTTCATGGAGATTTAAGTGAAGAGGTTTTTATGACTCATCTTCTTGGATTGTCTCATAGTCCTGGTCAAGTATATTGACTTCACCGACCTTTATATAGCCTTAAATTGTCAAATTTTCTTCAGTTATCTGTAACTTGTGTTTTCGTGCCAGTGACCATAATTCTGCTCTCTTTTTACAGTCTACTTCCACAAATTTTATTATTCTTTTACTATATATTGATGAGATGTTTATTACGGATGATGACATTGTTGGTACATGTTTATTGAAAACTTATTTGTAGGACCATTTTGAGATAGAAAAATTTAGGATAGCTTAGGTATTTCTTGGGCATTGAGATTGTTTCCTCTCCTAAAGGCTATCTTCTCTCTCAGTCCAAATATGTCTCGAATGATATTCAACAAGCCCTTTTATCAGATAATCGAACAGTTAAAACACCGTTATAACTCAATGTTCATTACTCTTCTTCTGATGATTCTCTCCTATATGACCCTACCCTCTATCGCACTATTGTTGGAGTTTAGTATATCTTACAGTCATTCGTCCGAATATCTCTTATATTGTTCATATTGTAAGTCAGTTTGTCGCCTCACCCTACTGTTGCTCACTAGGTTGCTATTCTTCGTATTGTTCAATATATTCATGATACTCTATATCAAAGTTTACTATTTTCTCACTCCTCGCTTATGAAACTTCGGGCTTACTTTGATGCTAACTGAACTGCTGAATCTATGGAATGGTTTTTGCCTTTTTCTCGTGAATTCTCTTATTTTATAGAAATGTAAGAAACAAACTGTTGTTGCTTGTTCTTCTGCTGCAACTGAGTATCATGCTATGGCATCTACCACAACTAAGATAGTCTGGATACGATGGCTCCTTGCTAATCTTGGCATTTTGATATCTTCTCCTACTCCTGTGTTATACGACAATACCAGTGATATTCAGATTGCTCACAACTCAATCTTCTATGAGCGCACAAAGTACATTGAGATTGATTATCACTTTGTGCGCCATTATCTTCAACAAGACACCATCACTCTCCCTTTTCTTCCATCCACCGTGCAGATAACAAATTTTTTTACGAAATCTCACACCATAGCACATTTTCAATTTCTTCTTAGAAAACCCTTGATGTTTTTGGTCACATCATGAGTTTGAGAAGGGGTGTCAGAGTATTAATACTAAGGGTAATTTAAGCATTTACTTTATATTGTGTTGTTCTACTATATAAGGCTTACTTTGTGTACTTTTAGGTTAATGAGAATAACAATCTAGTTTAGCCTAATAATATTTTTCTCTTTCTCTTCTCTACTCTCTCTTTTCTTATCCTTGTGATCAATTCTATCACTAATGACCAGCTTCAAAGGAGGAACCCTCAAACCTGCCTCTCAACATAGTGATCAGCTATGTGTTGTGAGGCTAGTGAATATGTGGATCATTTTTTAATTTGACATTGACCGTTGCTCTATCTTTGGGAATAAGATGTTCTGGATGGCTTCTAGGTCCTTTCCTCAATGTTCGTTGAGGTCTTTAGTGGTTTTATAAGGACAAAAAACAACACACGCTATGAACTTGTGGATGCTTTGCTATTATGTGGGTTATTTCGTCGGAAAGAAATGCGACAATATTTGGCAATATATGTGAGATGATGGAAGGGCTATGGGAACAAAGTAACTTTCTAACATCTTTATGGACCTCCATCACTAAAGAATTTTAAGCAACTCCACTCTTTTGTATCTTGGCGGGGTGATTTTTAGCTTTGATTCTTCTGCATTTTCTAGCTTTCCATTTAATGATTTTGGTTGAACTACTTGTCCGCCTTCACTAATGTAATATTATATATAATTAATAAAAAAGTTTTCTCGTAAAAATAAATTATTGAACCCCTTATCCAACTTCACCCATGACTTTCAAATATAAGCACTCTTTGATAGCTGCATCCTTAGCATTAGCTGACATGCCAATTTATTACTCAATCTTCCTATGATGACTTTATTAATTTATGGACGACTCGGAACAAAATGCCTAAGTAAAATGTCTTCACACATAGAATGTACCAAAAACAATTAAGATAAGTAAATAAGCATTTTTGTGATAGTTTCCCAAACCCGAATCCCTTTAATTGCTCACAGTATCTAAATCGTGATCCACCTTCTTCAGCAAGATTTTGAATAGAATGTTTCTTCTGGTACACCAGAATACCAATAAATCAAAGCTAATTGGTTCCACTAATTACAATGCAGTTCCTCGGTCATCTCATACAAGGATCAAAATGTCATTTTGAGACGGTCAAAACATCCGAAACGTTTCCGTTTCAAAGGAGATCGAAACGAATTCGAGGTGTTCCATAATGTTTTGAAATATTCAGTTATATTTTAATGTATTTGCACAATTATTTCATAATGTTTCAAGGTATTTCAAGATATTTTGGTATATTTCGACTAATGTTTTGAAAAAATAATTCTTAATTTTTTTACTTTTTATTTTTTTCATTATGTTTTCGAAACGGATCGAAATGTTTTTGAAACAAGTCAAAACGTTTCCGTTTCCTAGGTGACTAAGACAATGCACCGAAACAAAATTTTGATCACTGATCTCATGTTGTACCTGCAAACCCTAACTCACTTTATTTTCTCAGAATTAAGACTAAAAAAAGTGGGTACACAGTAGAAATTAATATTGAATGGATATGAGGTCTCTTACCAAGGCCAAGCCTAGATTACATGCAGCTAGTGGGAATTCTCTGAAGTCTGAAGTGTTGGAAGGTTTTGCTCAGTTCTTCTTGCTTGTGATTTTACTAGACATGCAATGTTTCTTCTCCCTTGTTTTTTAGTTAGTGTTTGTTTATTTTGATGTCCACATCAATATCTTTAATTAGTTTGTGCTGCAAAATTCTCGAAACACTAATCAGCCGCAATCATACAAGTAAAAAGAATAATGAAGGAAGAAACCTGTGATTACATACAGTACTTCAAAACGAACAAGTACCACCAATGGAGTAACTAACAAAAAAAATATCAGCAAGGAAAACATACTGCAATCACAGAAATGTGGAAGTCTGTGACAAGTTGAAGGATATCGAAAAAGTATTAAAAATATGAGAAGAAAATCAGCCGAAGCTTTGACCAAAAAAAAAAAAAAGATCAAGATCTTGAAAGTGCAATAATATTGACGAATATATGAAATATCCAGTATACTCTATTCTTTGCGAACTAAATATAACAGAGACAAATTTGGTGAAGACAAACCTGTGCGGCTGTTGGTGCTACTGGCCTGGGATAAAATAAGTTCCCTTTGCTTTCTTCACCTCCATGCTGTGAAGATTGTAATTCAGATTCAGGTTTACTAGTATTAGCCATCCAGTCTGCGGAAAGTGTCCGCATATCAGAAAGAATCCTGAAAATGGAAATGAAATACACCCCACAAGTGATGAGAAAATAGCAAGAAGCAGGTTCTCTGTAGCCTAACTATTATCATGTCAAATCAATGCCATCAAGCAACAGAAATAAGAAGCAAAGGATGCTCGTAGTGGAAAATTTGACCATTGATGCATGAAGGCTTGAAAACATCTTGGATTGTGAGTTTAAGGATTAATGCGGACCATCAAATATAAGATTGGGTCCTTCTCAAATCTTTGATGAAATGGCCCAGCTCAAAAAAGGAAGGTTATAGAATGCAATAATAGTTAACTCATCTTAATATGTGGAAATCCTACCATCGAGTCATCTACAAACGGGTCAGTACTTGGTTCTTGGGGAGTCTCTTGGGTTTGAGAATGGGAAGGTAGAGAAGCTGTGAAAGCCATAAAATTCACCGAATTCTCACTAGAAGTGATCTCATTCAGACGATTTCTACTGGAGTCACTATAAATCCACTTAGCATTCAAACTTTTTCTTTTTTCACAACTCATTTCACCCTTCTTCTTATTCAGTCACTTGAATGCTAAGTGTCCAAACCAAGATTACCTGGATCGTGAGTTGCTTGGGTACATGGTACGGGCACAAGTACGCGGTACGACACTTTCTTAGGTACGCGGTATGATAGGAGTAGGCTTAGTTGGTATATTGTTTTAGGTCGCAATTTATTTTAGGACTCTTATCTAGATTGTTTTCACTACTATACAACATTATATGTTACAAAACATCTATAAATATTGAGTCAACTACCATTTATCTGATATTTTGCTTGATTTTCTATTATCTAAAATAATTTATAATTATAAATTTATATGCATGGAGTGAATTAATATGTATTTTATATTTGTGCTACATATTCGAATGCGAATTGATTTAGGATTAGTATTATAATTTGGGATCGTACAATTTGGTGATCTGAATCGCGAACCCACCCCATCTGGGATCGATATACCTAGATCGTTGGTCATCATAGGCTTAGTAAATTCTGGTAACCATCCAAACTTGACGCACAGCATTATAGCTCTTGACCCTTCTTCGCATGGAATCTCTTTAGTAAAGATCTCAAGATTTTCCAAATCAATATTTGGTTTTCATACTTCTTCCCAAATTTAAAGGAAAAATTGCATGTCACCAAATCGAGTATGTAACTCAGACAATGTCTCATTCTCTTCCATTCTAAGATCCTTGAATTGAGAAGTAAGCATTTGATAGGGCTTTCTAGAAGGGAAGGGGTTGGAATTAAGTTGATCTTCAAATTGATTGGCTGCATGATACTATAACTTCCATAAAAAAGGCTGCAGGACATCTTCTGGACAGCAAGAATTTCAAGATCAAAGGGTGGGGGATTTGGTGCTGACATGGTGGAGTTTGGGGCTGAAGGAGGACTATTCTGACCTGTGCACAATACCCGAAGGTAGTATTATTGTGACTTATAGGCTACTAGAGTTGAAGATTTTATGGAAGGATGTGTTCGGTTTAGAGGACTGATTGTAGGTGTCAAATGTAGAAATTCTACCCAGAATTCTCTAGGAATCACCCCCAAGTTAAGGTTGCAACAGTGTTATGGAGAACTAGACATGCTACATTAAATCTTCTTTTGTTTTGGCTCAACGCAATAAATGTTTTAGATTTGTGGCAGTGTTGGTTGAGACCATAGCTGAAGATTTATTTATTTTTTGTGCTCCTTTTTGGTAAATGTCATGAGTACGTACATCCATTGAGTCCCCTCTTGACATTTTGCTTTGAATTTTATTAATACAAATTAGAAGATAAAGTATTTAGCCTACTTCCATAGATACCATAATCTCATAAAGTTTTTATTGAAGACAATAAACCCCTAATCATCATTCACAGTAACTTTCATGAATTCATCATGCACTCATAATTTAATTATGAAGTTTTCACATTTTTTGAAGATTTTACTTGTTTTGTTTTAACAATTGAACTTATAAACTAAAAATTTATCACAAAATGACTTATTTTTCCCTTGGTCACAATTGATAATCTCCTCATATTTCATCAGAATTGGTATTTTGTCAAATATTTATTACCTGCTCAAAAGTAGAGGAAAATAGCACAAAGAGAAGACAAGAGTGGGGAAGCTAAGCAACCACACTCTTTGTGGGCACTAGCCCACCCTACCAACATAGGCCCCAGCCCTAACCACACACTTCCCCCAGCAACCACACACCTAGCCCCAATATGCCCCATTTGCCCCTGAGCCCGCACCCCACCCCTAATTGATTTCCCCCACACCCCACAACAATCCGCCCCTACCACGTCCAACCTATTGCCCCAAAATCACTACTAACCCACAATCCTAACTCTGTTTGCCCCCACCCATGATCGTTGACAACCCTACCCCAATCTGCCAAAGCTTTGATCTATTGTTGATTACAGCGCACCTACTGTTAGAATAGTTAGCATATTTAGACTTAAGGGTAGCTTAGTCATTTGTTTTCTTTTATATTACCCTACTATATAAAGACCTCTTGTATGTATTTTCCATTATGTTGTTCTTGGTAATTGTGTCTCAATAATATTCGCTTCTTTTTTCTCTTATCTGCACTATGATTGATCAAAGTTAGATTTGGAGTAGTTTAGATATTTCTTGGGTATTGAGATTGCTTCCTCTACTAAATGCTTTCTTTCTCTCGGCCCAAGTATACTTCAGATGTTATTCAACGAGCTCGTTTATCAGATAATCGGACAGTCAAAACACCTTTAGAGCTCAATGTTCATTACTCTTCTTCTGATAGTACTCCCTTGTCTAATCCTACGCTTTATTGCACTATTATTAGGAGTTTAGTATATCTTACAGTCACTCGTCCGAATATCTCCTATATTGTTCATGTTGTTAGTCAATTTGTTGCCTCACCCACCACTATTCATTGGGCTGGGTTCTTTGTATTCTTCAATATCTTCGAGGTACTCTGCACCAGAGTTTGTTATTCTCCACCTCCTCTATGGAACTCAGGGTTTATTCTGATGCTGACTGGGCTGGTGACTCTATAGACCGTAAGTCTACTACGGGATTTTGCCTTTTCCTCAGTAATTCTCTTATTTCTTGGAAAAGCAAGAAGAAACTGTTGTTTCTCGTTCATCTGATGAAGTTGAATATCGTGCTATGACATCTACTATAGCATGATAGTTTGGTTACGATGGCTCTTTGCTGATCTTGGCATCATGTTATCTACGCCAACTCTTATGTATTGTGACAACACTAGTGCTATGCAAATTACTCATAAATTACTCTTTCATGAGCGCAAAACGCATATTGAAATTGATTGTCACTTTGTACATCATCATCTTTAGTTGGGCACTATCTCCTTCTCCTTTATTTCTTCTACTATGCAGTTAGCAAATTTCTTCACAAAATAGCATAGTATATCACTCGCTTTTGTTTTCTTCTTGAAAAACTCTTGATGTTTTCGGCTACCACATCATGAGTTTGAGAGAGGGTGTTAGTGTAGTTAACATATTTAAATTTAGGGGTAGCTTAGTCATTTATTTTCTTTTATGTTGTCCTACTATATAAAGACCTCTTGTATGTATTTTTCCATTATGTTATTCTAGTTAATTGTGTCTCAATAATATTTTATTCTTCTTTCTCTTATCTTCTCTATGATTAATCAAAGTTATCACCTACAACCCGACATCACCTAGATCACATCCCCTAAAAATGCCATTGTCACAATGTTGTGATGACTCATATGATAATAACTACAAAGGGCTCCCTAGTTTCATGATTGTCAACTGCAATTGGAGACGGATCGAGCCAGTACCTGGTTCGATCTCTCCCCTTATGCATATGTGTGTATGTGTGAATGGTCATTATTTCAGATTTGATTGTGATGGTCATTGGTGGAGATGGAAGTGGGTCATGATGGTAAGGGGTGGTGGTGGTTGTGTTAAGTCATTCATTGTTGAATATGTGTGAGAAAGTAAGTGTGAGACAAAGAGATATGAAGCACAAGAAAAGGGATGTTTGGCAACTTGGTTAATTTTGCTTTGGAGAGAATCAATTTGGAAACATTACTATTTTTTTAACAAGGAGATAATGCTTGTTTTTAAGTACTATTTTTGTTGACAACAGTTTTTCACTATCAGTTTAGGGGTCTTGCTATTATAGATTTGGTATATCAAGGGGTATCCGGTCAATATTGAAATGTCATGAGGTGGCCGGAAATAAGCCCATATATCATATGGTGTCATTGTAATTTACCATAAACATTAATAAACACTCAATAAATCCTTTAATGCCAACATTTCACTCTTGGGTATTGCTTACGAAAGTTGTTGGTTATCAATCTTCACATTTTGAAACTACCAAACTATAAATACTAAATAAATTGCATAATTTGATTTCATGGCTCAAGGTCCTGATATCAAACAACGACTCGAAGAGCTCTGAGACACATTGGTGGTAGCGTCGCGGCACTGTATCGGAAGATACGATGTAAAACAAATTATTGAACATGACGAGAAATTCAGGTCATACTGCAACGTCGTAGAATCATATCAGCGAATTCGGTGACAATAACTCGGGGACTCGGGACTGACTCGGATACAATTCGACCGAATTATGCGAGACTCAGGATTTATACGTATCGTGTAACGATATCGCCTCAAAAGGTGTCAAGTCAGATATGAGTCGGTTGACTCGTATCAGTATCGGTCGACACTTTGAACCATGTTTGATTTATGTATAGTGATGCAGGACAAAAGAGAAAGAAAAAAAATAATAAAAAAAAAAAAAAAAGATACCAAATCCTCGTAAGGATTAGGTCGAGAAACACACAAAATTATCCACGAGAAAATAATTTAATTATATCACACTCTAATAAAAATAGTGAGAATTATATCAATATTTATAAGTCCAGTTTCCTACAAATAAAAACCATTCCCCTACTAAAATTCAAAAAGTGTTTCACAATCGAACTCTCAAATTTCTATCCTATTAAAACTCAATAATAATTTCTTAATCAAACTCTAATACTACTAATCAAACAAATACTCCTAAATTAAATAATAATAATAATAAACCAATCATTTTCCAAAGTTGATTGTATTGGTACAACCAACCAATGGTTGCGCCTTCAATTCTCCCTCGCTGAAAAGAATTCAGCTCTGGCAAGTAAGGAAGAGGGTCAAGAATATCATCTAATGGAGAAACTCTATGAATCAATAACGAATTTTTTTTCAATTGCAATGTACGTGCATCTGTAGTACAAATAAGAGTATACTTCTTTCTCCTAATTGCAAAACAATAAGCATTAGCACGCCCCGCATGTTGTGCATTACGATCCCATATCCTAGTACGCCATAAAAGTATATAACAAAGCTTGAGAGGCACCCTAAAAGCATATGACGAAGCTTGAGGGGCGCACTAAAAGTATATGACAAAGTTTGAGTGGCAACACATCACACATGACGGTCTCCATTCTCCCAATCATCAAAATTAACTTCACCCATATTAAGAGATTCTACAATCTCTGTTTCAAATTCAGGCTCATCGGAATCATTATTCACCTTTGGATTTTCCTTTTCAAACACAACAACAGATATTGTAGGTCACTGAAAAGAGAGATAACCAAAACTATGACAATTAAAACATCCCGTCTCAGAATTAATACTCCCTTGAAAAGAAGGATTAGCACTAACCCGAAAAGGTTTGTTTGGAGTAAAAGTATACTCTTGGGGTTTATTGGTGGACTTACCTTGACTTACATCTATGATAGTTCTCTCGATCCGAGTCATAGGTTCCATAGAAGATATCATAGAAGATCTCTTTTTCAATTCATCTTCTATCCAATAGACAACTAGAACTCCATCTGTCATGGTGTAAAGTCTACTTGCAGCTAATCTAGTTAACATCTGAGAATTGAGTTCTTGCCTATATATGGCAACCATCACATCCTCAATCCATAGGAACTCTAATTGGGTGGCCAGGCTGTAGAACTTTTCCATGTACTTCTCAACAGACATGCTTCCTTGATTGAATTGTGTGAACTATAAATAAGCTTATTGCTTATAATTAACAGGCACAAAGTAACGAGTCATTATAATCTTTATATCATTCCATCATTTATCAAAGTGAGTTTGTTAGTACTTTACCCACCAAAGTCTTGCTACACCCTTTAAATTAGATTGTGCAAAGAATACATTCCTCTCATAAGTAACGATATCATCTGAAGAAGCTTTCAAAGCTATGTAACCAATCAAGGAATGTCTCGGAATTATTATCACCATGAAAATCTTTAACTTCTAGTTTAACTCCTTTATTAACATCAAATACTCTGGGTTTTTCTTGAATTTGAGGTCGTGATGGTGGGGCTTGTACAAGTACTTGCGGACGATTGATGGCTGAAGATACTGAACAATTATCGGTATTATTCTCAATTCCTCTAAGATCAACCCTATCTTCAAATTTTGTGTATAGCACCCTAGGTCTTGAACTGACAGGAATACAGACTTTGATATCTAAAGTGAAACAAATAAGAATTTAAATCACTCTTCTAATCTAGGACAAGGGCTGCTAAGGCATCCACAAACGTCTTTAGAGAGTAAGATGTCCACCGTTTCTTTCATTAAGCCTATTGATACTTGGAAAGAATCTATTGATGCTTGGAGCAAATCTGGTCGCGAATCATTTGCTTCAACTCTAGCACTTAATTCGGCATTAGTAACCATCTTGATAGACAAGATGTCTTGAAAAGTTGCACAAAATTCTATAGTAAAAATTATAATTTCACAAAATTTTAAGATTAAAGTGTAATTTTAGAAATTTTTGGGGGCCAAACAGTAATTTTAAAAACTTTAGGGGTCAAATCTATAATTTTAAAAAGATTCAAGGGTGTTGGTGTAATTTTAGAGGTGTGGAGAATGGGCCTTATATTTCTGGAATTTTGTGTTGGGCGTTAGAGCATCTCCAATAGTGCTCTCTATTTTAGAGTCTTTTCTCTAAAATATAAAGTATCTTTAGTAAAAAAATTCAATAGAGTGATTTTTTACACACCACTCTAATAAGACTATCTATTCTTATCATTTTATGTTTTGTCATTTTTAACAATAAATTTGACTTCCCTCCTATTTTTCTTCCATTATTTTAATTGAGATACATCTATCTGAAATATCTTTGGATGAAAAGATAAATATATCCTTTTTCTATTCCAAAAAAATAGAGTAGAGAGTGAGTTTGACTCTTCAAATGTAAAGAGTTCATTGGAGAAAAAATATTAAGGGTTAACTCTCTATAATAGAGAATTGAGTGGGAATAAAAAGTCTATTGAAGATGCTCTTAGAAGGGATTTTTTTTTTTGCGTAGGTTTGGACATGGTTTGGGCTAAAGGGTTTAAGAAGTTGGGTTAGCTTCTTACCAAATATTTGATTCGAATCAAAATTTTGAAACACATTAAACAAGAACTCTTCTTTATGGCATGCGTGGCTCAAAAATTTGACCATTATCAGCGACGGCAAGAACTCCTACAAGACTGAAAGATGGCTACGGCGGCAAATAATAAAGGCTTGGTTGTCTTCTTCAAGAACGGCCTGGTTTGAGCTTTATAAACTAGGTAGTAGCTGTTAATTTGATTTTCTCTGGAGGGACTAGCAATAGTTGGAAATTGAGAAAAGCAAACAAATTTGTATCCGAGATTGGGCTTTGATACCAAATTGATGTAGGACAATAGAGAAAGAAATAAGATAATAGAAAAGAAGCAGACGAGATACAAAACCCTTGCAAGGATTAGGTCAAGAAACACACAAAATTCTCCACAGAGAGATAATTTTTATAATATATCACTCTCTAATAAAAATAGTGGGGATTACATCGATATTTATAGGCCAAGTTCCTTACCAAATTAAAAACTATTCTCCTACTAAAAGTCCAAAAGAGTTTCATAATCAAACTCTTAAATTTCTATCCTATTAAAATTCAATAATAATTTCCTAATCAAACTCTAACTAATATTCCTAATCAAACAAATACTCCTAATTTAAATAATAATAATAAACTAATCCTAATAAACTACGAATTACACTTTTCTTTGCATTAAAAATTCATATTCTTTCGCCTAGGCTTCCAAAGCTGATTGTATTAATCCAACCAACCAATGGTTGCACCATCATATAGATACATACAATATGCATAACTTTTATGAACCACTGGATTTAAATCTCTTTTATGAACCATTGCACAACTTCGAAAAAATAGAATCCACAAGATGATCCCATTTTGATTAGTTCATAGATTTGACTAAGACAAAAATTCAACTCAACTTTATGCCTTGCATCACATTAATAAGTTAAACTATTCTTAACAATTTCAATCCACATTGGTTTTTCTCTTCCTTTATCCCAACCATTATTCTCTATAGGAATTACACTCTTCTATACTAGTGTAATTTTTGTAGCATGTTTCCAGCCCACTTTAGTCAATTTTCTCCTAATCTCCTTCAATCAACCAAATTTTGATACACTGACCCACAAAACAAATAAAAAATATATTGTTAAAATTCATCAGATAAATTTTAAATTTATATGGAGGTCAAAATACAAGTAGAAAACAAAGGAGGAGCTAAAGGTAGTAAGATGAAATGTTGCATGAAATAACAAGTGTCAACATGAATTGTCTCCGAGGAGTTGCTGAACAATTGGTTGCATGTGCTTGTGTTATATGCATAGTTGTCACCATCTTATGTACGTGATACATACGTTACGATACGTCTCAATATAGTACCCAAACAATACGCATCTTATGAGTTGTATCATTTTTCATCATATCTTGCGATACGTTTCGATATAATGAAAAAACAATTTGCGCAATATCAAAATGACATCATTTTTACAAGGCTTTTTTTACCATAAACAATGAAACAACATTGATTTCCTATGTGTTATGTTTCTTTTTTGGTTTGCTCTCAAATAGAAGAAGCTCTCTATCATCTTCGTGTCATAAGATCATCTTTTATTTCTCCAGCATCTTTATTTTTCTTCTTATTCAAAACAGACAAAACCATAATTATATTTCGATCTATGTTGTGAAGACAAACAATGCTCTCTCTTTTGATCTCTATTGGAGACACATCACATGAAATGATGAGTGAGTTGAAATGATATTTATGAAGCACTACATATTTAAATATTTTTAGGGGTGTGTGTATACAAATTTCTTATTGAGAGTATCTTACGATACACGATACGTTACGACACATGCTACATTATTTTTTTAAAATGATACATGTTTTGACAACCTTGGTTACAAGTGTGTCGTGTAAAAAGTGAATTAAAATACGAATAGAAAAGAGATGAGGAAAGTGTACATATGTCAACATATGTTTGTGGTGTGTCATGCGAGGGGGGTACGGCTGTCTCCAGCAAAGAAGATTTGTGTGCCTAGTGAGTATCGTATACTACAGGTGGAAAAATAAGAAAGTGAAAGAGAAAGAAGAGTAAGAAAATAAGGGGAAAACCATCAGCTAGATGTGAGAATTCAGTGGTGATTTATGATTTGTTCCGGTTGAAATTCAAGTATGTTGTTTGTGGTGCCTTCAGGTGCATATATACCCTACAGGAAGACAAATATGAAAAGAGAGGGGAAAACCATGAGCATGATGTGAGAATCTAATGGTTATCTATTTTTCATTTTGGTTAAAAATTCAAGTGTATTGTTTGGGGTGCCTTACGGTGCACATCTACCAGTTTCAATTGAGGAAAAGGTAAGCAGAATAATTCATGATGTGCTTCCGCTTTCATCCTCTTTGCAAAGGGTATTTCTTCTAGTTACCTTGATATTGCAATCCTATTAATTCCGTTAAAATTATCACAATATCCCATAAATTTCTATTGATCGTGTTTCTCATACTTGTTTCTTTGCAATTTGGTACTTGTCCAAAACACATCCGTAAATAAGTTGTTGGCCATGTGTCAACAATTCATCTGCCTGACTGATGCATGAGGAGGTCAGGTGTACTAGTCATGTCACTGAAATAGACTGGGCATTAGACTACAAACTTCTTGTTGAGAGGTAGGATATTATTTATTTGACCCTTGTGTGCAATTGTTTTAATTTTCAGATTTGTTGATTATCATCTTGATCATTTTCACTCCTGTCATATTGTGGATAAGCTAGGAAATGTATAAATGGATGTAACTTATCAAAATTTCAACCAATAACATTCCGGAAGATGGGGTATTCCACATATTGAAAATGATTGTATCCCACAAGTAGGAAGAAAGAAAAAGATTAAGTTTCACCAAGCCTAGGGAAAACTCCACCAAGCCCAAACCTAGCGAGAGAGAAAAAAATCAGAAAAAATGTTTTAACTTTGTACCCTTTTGAAGACCTAGTAACATATCATATAGTTCAAAGTTCAAACATAAAAAGCTAGTACACGAGCTTTCCCCTTTTACAAAAAATTTCAACCCAAAATATGAAAAAAGAGAAAGGCCAAATAAAGTGGGGAGCATATTTGGAGTTCCAATGATACAACACAAAAGCAAATGCTCACCTAGAAAGGTCCTTCTTCTTTCGGAAAGTGGTCCGCAACATACTGGCCAATGTATTTTGCACAAAATCCTGAACCTCAGTATGTATAGTCTCCCATAAGGCATCCGCTACCAGAGTGTCACAGCGCTGCAACATTGATCCAATGCTTTTTATGTAACTGACAAGTTCAACCAAAGCTTTCCTTTCCTCTGCACTATAGTTATATCGTACCACCTAAAAGAAAATCCAACAATTTCCCAACAATTAGCTTAGGATAAGTAAGAAAAATAAAAGTAAATCACAACTTAATAGTTAATTGCAAGGATATTCGAATTCATTAACAAATATTTATTTTAGCATAAGGTTTGAGTTTAAAATGTTAGAAATTGTGTAACTTAAATATTTATACTTCAAAAACGAAATTGAGTTGGAATTGGATGTTGACTAGTCTGATCTTTCTTAAAGAATGAAGATTTCGCTAAAATGGAAGTTTGTTTGACAAAAGGGATCATGTTCACTATGAGATTTTTCTTGCTCCATTTCCCGCTCCTTTACCTTTTTAGGCCGGCTAAATTTTGGGCCTAGCAAGTGCAAATCTTTTAATTATCAGGATGGTGGGGAGAATCGAACACAAAACCTCCAAACTCGCTACTATGTTAAAACAACCACCTACTTTAAAAGTTTAAGTTCGTTAGAAATGGTATAATTTAAATATTTATACCTCCACACATAAAGATAATGAACTCAAGTAAATAAAAAAATACAAGGTATTGGGTTCCACATAATGCCATACAAGCTGCCTCTCAAGCAAGAGGTTCTACATAATTCATTAAGATCTTTCTCAAACACTTGACCATTAGATCAATTCCTCAATCAAGATATCCCTCCCATAACCACATTATCAAACGATTCAAACCCCCCCCCTCCAAAAACAAAAACCAACCCAACACAAACACAGACACATGCATACTCAAAGAACAAAAATTGTGATAACTTTGCCTCATATCTTTAGTCCTATCATGGACGACCGGGTCAAAACCAATGTTACCTGGATCGTGGGTCGTTTTGGTACATGATACGAGTATGGGTATATGGTACAACAATTTCTTAAGTACGCGACACGATTGGAGTAAGTTTAGCCGGTACAGTATTTTGGGTCGCAATTTGTTTTAGAACTCTTATGTAGATCATTTTCATTACTATATAACATTATATATTACAAAACATTCATAAACACTAAGTTAGTTACTATTTATTTTATAGTTGTACTTGATTTTCTATTATCTAAAATAATATATAATTATAAATCTATATACATATAGTCAATTAATATGAATTTTATATTTGTGCTACATGTTCTAAAGTGAATTGATATAGGATTAGTATTACAATTTGGGATAGTCCATTTTGGTGATCTAGATCACGAACCCACCTCGTTTGGGATCGATGTACCCAAATCGTAAGTCGTTAAGAGTTTAGTGAATTGTAGTAACCATAGTCAAAACAAGCCTGATTATCCCCAACATCATCATGATCTCACCTTTTTTTCTATTTAACTATCTTTCCCTTTTTTTTTAGAGGGAAAGAGAGGAAAAAGCAAAAAATAAAAAGGTGTCTTTGTTCTAGAACAGGAACAAGAATCCAACTGCAAGAACTTAGAGAGATAACAACAAAATCTAATAATAGTATTATCACCAAAATCTCCTTAGATCTAACCCCATAATTTCCAAAAAAGTAAGTTTCACCATTCGCCACTAACTAGACACAAGAAAATTGAACTTAAGTCTCACTCACCAAGTAAAAGGTCTCTCTTATAAAACCAAGTAACATGCAAGGAGGAAATTCCTTCAAACAAAATAACCCAGAAGCCTAGACATGGTGAGCGTCATCAAAAATACACCTGTTAGGAAATTGATTGCAATGGGCTAATTCCACGAGGTTACATGTATATTTCTTAACTAAATTTGTGGTCAGGATGCTTAAGAAGATAAAGACCAATGCAAGATGGGATGATGAAGTTCAACCTACAAAGCCACACTTGAAGACTTTTTGGAATCCATCAAGCTTAGGTAATGACCTAGATACCTAGTTGTCTTGATTTTCAAAAAGCTTTCCAATTAAGGTATGAGAGCCATGCTACAGAATAAATCCTAAATTGAATTTTGTTCACCTAAGTTCATCAAAAGAATATTTCAAAAATACTGTTAAGAGTCAAGGTATAGAAACTTGTTGAGGAACACCCTTTTTTACTCAATAGAGTTATTTTTTACTTGAGAGACCATTTGATGGTAGCTCGCCTTACAGCTCAAGCGGTCTCTGATCACATAGGGAGAAGCTGGGAAACAAAATAGAAGGGACTGCTAGCTGGCCGCTGAAGCAAACACCAAAAAGCTCGAGCAGTCTCCACTATTTAGGCCAAGACAGATTCCTTTTATAGTCACAGCAGCCACCACCTGTAGACCACTGGCTGACGACTCAAGCTAGCTTCTCCATGAGCCTCTTGGTGAGTGCATCAAAGAGCCTCAAGCTCTGCTGGAAAGACTTCAAAACTTCCCCCTTCAGTCTACATCATTTTTTGCTTTGAGGAAATTTTTAGGCCCAGTGCATTAGATGAGACTCAGAGGCGGAGCCAAATTTCTATTTTAGTCAGGGGCAAAAAAATAAATGAAAAATATAACCAACAGGTATTAAAAAAAATTTCTCGCATTCCCATTAATATGGACTAAATTAGGTGTAAATTTCACACAAAAATTATAAGTTCAACTATGAGAAATATATTAAGATTCAAGACTTAATTACTCAACAAAAATTAAAACCAAAATCATGTTGGCTTTAATAAAATATGTGGAAATCCCTCAAAAGTCAGTGGGGGCAACTGCTTCCATGCACATTACACCTAGCTTTGCCCCTAACGAGACTGCTACCTTTTGGGCCTTGACATAACAAATTAGTTGGTGCAAGAAATCTTCTACTATATCGGTTTTGGAGGCCCAGATACCTTTGACACCTGGCTTACTTAGAAGGCAGGTTTCGTGGCAAAACACAGGCCTTCAATTTGTTTAGAGTTATGGCAGTCACTTTTGTAAGCTTTTATGTGTATTTGTCAAGTAATTTTACATTCTTTTGCTTTTCCGACTTTTTCCTATGTCCATGTGGAGTTAACAGTCAGCAGGATCCCTCATCTTTCTACTCTCATAGCTCCTTTTCTTGTGCTTGACATATGATTTTCTTCTAATCACTATGTCATAGAGAGAGGGGGGAAGAATATAAGCAGTCCTTCAACAGCAACTATTTCCAGCAGTCATGGAAAAGTGGACTGAAATAAGCTCAATAAAATCCTCACAAAACCTCCAATTTTTTTATAGATTACCAACAGAACCAATAAATCACATGAATAAGTAAGCATTTGTAGAAGCTAAAGATATAAGAATAGAAAGAAGGCCAGAGTAAACCTTTTCATAGTCAGAAAATGATGCTGACATCTCATGTGACTCTGTAGGAACTGAATCCTTCCAGGGACGAGAGAATTTCCATGCACATTGTTCCCAAATGCGTCCAGTCCATCTGCTGAGAAGTTGAAAACCTTCCACGATCATATCATACATGTTTCCTTTCACTTCCTTGCACCACTCTGTATCTGCACTTTCAATTGATTTCAACAACACTAGCTGCACAAGTTTACACAACAAGACATGTGCCTTAGATACAATGAAAAAAAACAGTTATATCAGCTAGATTGAAGAAAAGAACAAAATAAAACATTTTTTTGCAACCTAATCTTGCTACTTTAGTCTGAAGATTAAAAGCTGGGATTGACTGAAGATTCAAATACATATACACTATATATGTATGTATATAAATGTCAAACAAAGCAAAAGAATAAGCGAGAGAGAGAGATGAAACGCAAAGAGCACCTGATTCATAGATAAAGCAAAACGGATGGTGAAGTCGTCATGCTCAGCCCGGATTGCTCCAATGTGATTGACAATCAAATAATGTCGCTGATAAGTGGAGTATGTCAAGGCATTTGCCAACAAGATACTAGAGTTCAAATTCATCACAAAAGCCAATAAACCAGTAGATAAACAAGCATGCTTCAACAAACACCAAGCAAATACTTAAAGAGAGCTCACAGACACCTCTGAAAATACCAATTTATGTCAACAACTAACATTGCAGTAAATTTGAAGATAGCTATGGTGGTTCATTGATAGAAAGATATTTTATCTGGGTCATTCATTTATTGAAGATTCACCACAAAATTAGTTTCCATTAAAGGTTTATGAACATTTTTTTTGTATTTCACTTCATTTCTGAATTTTCTATGAAATTATGATATAACCTACCCCAAGTAGTTGGCAAAAAACTCTATTTTCGTTGAGAATAATTGAGTTGAGTTTCAAGAGTCTTAGCGGTTTCTAGAACTAGCTTTACTACGTCAAGCAACCTTCAAAAATTTTAGCTTCTCTTACCATCAAACATACATCCATCTTTTTTGAAGAAGGTCAATGAATATCCTCCAAACATTAATATATATGTACATATATATAAACAAAAACACCATTAATTGTAGATGCCCAAAGAGATGGCTAGGCCCAGACCTAATGTTTGGAATTATTTGCAAAAAGTAATTGCTCTCATCTTCAAACTCGCAAGCTAATGGTTATTAGTTTAACATTTTTACCACTGAACCACGCAATGTCACACATACGTACCAATCTATAGATACACAGCAACCATTCTCTTTGGGAGAGGGCTTGAGAAGTCTTCCCTCCACTTTTCTTCAATTTTATTTTTTAATTTATTTTATAATCAACACCCAGTAAACATATATGATATAATATAACACATGCACACATCAAAATACTCCACTAACCTACCCTTCAACCAACTCACACGTATTCTATTTCAACTATTCTTGGTCACTTGCTCAAACTTCTTCTCAAATTCAACCAATTGATATCTATCTAATAATACACCCACTCCATGTCCAATTCTATTTCAACTATTTTTGGTCAAAATTTTTTTAGATAAATATTTTTGGTTAAATTTATCACAAGTATACTCAGCAGAAAGATGTTCCGCTACAAATCTCACCGCAATTGATAATCATCATATCAACAGCTACTATACTTGGGTTAGTTTCTGCTAGCTATTGCTTGTTGTTTTCTATGGGTAGTTTTTTTGGGGCTATTCTTGCTACTGAAGTCTCTTCACGTTGGTTCGGATCCATTGTGATAGTGTCCGAGAGCAATCAAAGCTTTGGTAACCATGGTAGTGATATTGGGTCAGTGTAGCACCCAAAATGAGAACCCTACAAAACAAATTACAACTTCTAAGCTTGATAGCACTAATTATCTTGACTAGTCTCATTCTGCAATCTTGCTTATTTACGGCAAAGGAAAGATGAATTATCTTGATGCATTGTTGTTGAACCAAAAAGTACAGATTTGCTCAAAATGGAACATGAAGGATTCGACAGTTATGTCAGTACTTCTTCGTTCCAATGCTTTCTAGGAAAGAAATGGAGTCCCTTCGACGTCTCATGACTCAATTGGAGCCAACCTCGACCACCACTGCTACATCCATAGTTGCTCACTTATATAATAATGTCAATGCTCATAATACTTCTTCCTTGTCCAGTTGTCCCTCTTGGATCATTGATGGGGGCATCTGACCATATGAAAGGTTTGTTCAATTTTGTTCTCTTCTTATAATACTAGTTCAGACATAGATAAGGTTTGGATAACAAATGGATCGTTATCATCAAATTCTGGTAACGGCTCCATTTCTATTCCTCCAACAATATCTCTGTCATCCGTTCCACATGTTCCTTATTTTCTACAACTTTTTATTTGTTAGTAGTATAACCAAGTCTTTGACTTGTAGCCTGACCTCCTTTCCTACACATTGTATTTTTCAGAACTTGAAATACAAAGAGAACAAAGGAGCAGTCTCTACCTCTTAGATTCTACTGCATCTGGATTCACTGATAAGAGTCTGGATCCACTGACAAGAGTCCAGCCCTCCAGTCTACTACTTGTGGTGTTGGTTCATCTACAGATTAGCTCATTCAATCGCATCAACGCCTTGGCCATCCTTCCTTTTCTTTATTGCAGAAGTTATTCCCCACATTGTTTTTTAAGTTGAATGTTCCTCAATTTAATATTGAAACTTAGTCTTGTTTTCTTTTCTTCTAGTTTAAATAAACACATTTCACCTTTTTCTACATTATGTTGTGTCGGCCCTCCTCATATTCTTGCTTTATGATTTGTTGCATTTGTTGATGAGTGTTCTCGTGTTCCATAAGATTCTATTGGGACACAGCCATCAATGAGGGAAGATGGATGATGTCGTGGCCTTATTTGCACTTCTTTATTAAAAATGGGGGAACAGTTGAGTGATGTCATAACTAAAAAGGCATCGGGTAGGATGTTTTATACTATTATAGGCAAGTTTTCATGTCTTGATGATCCACGTATGGGTATTATACCTTTTTTCGGAGGCAACTTTATGACTTGACATAATAAGAAATAGTTGGAGCTATGGAACATGGGGTGTGTACGTTTTTGTGGTTACAAATTATTCTACTAGAGCTTGGTGTTGATTTATGTGGCCCAATAAGATTATTGTGACAACAAACCAGTCATCAATATTGAACATAACTCGGTTCAATAGGATCATACTTGATGATGCACAAAAGTGAATTTATGCATCACCTGTCGAGTAATTAATATAGGTAATAAATGTATTAAATATAAAAATGAGATCAACACAAGCAACAAACAGATATAGAGTGGTTCGGTAAGGGTGACCTGCTCCACTTTGAAGTCTACGACGGTGGCCGTAGAACTTTATTGATAAAGTACTTGATAGGAGAGAGGGACAACATGAGTAAGCTCTAGGTGTGGAGAGATAGGTCTAAGAGGTAGAGAGATGTGTTGTGCGTCCCTCATGTGTAGAGGACTTGCAATTTATAGGCATAGAGCTTTAATTGAAACGATGGTGTAAGGGATAGGTTAATAGTCCTTCAGGGAGGATAACTACAACTAAGAATAGATACAATTAAAGATAGTCTTAATTTTCGAGTAGTGGTTATTCCAGTAATTACTCCCCACATGCACTGATCTTCTTGGATTTCCTGAACTTTGGACTGGGCTAATATCATGAGCTAGGCTTGACCGGCCTTTTAACTGATTTGGACTTACCCATGAATTGGACCTAGAACCAGCTACATCTGAGCTCATCAATACCAATCATATTGAAGTTGATAGGCATTTCATTAAAGAAAAGCTACGCTCTGGTCTTATTTTCACTCCTTTATTAAAAAGGGGGAACAATTGGTTGATGTCTTAACTAAAAGGGCATCGGGTAGGATGTTTTATACCATTCTAGGCAAGTTGTGCATGTGTATCTCTACGCACATGCTTGAGCGGGAGTGTTAGAACATATGCAAAATTAGAATGACGGCATTGTTTGTAATTTTTAAATATCCATAATATTATAAATAGATAGTGAGTGTAGGAATGAGAATTGTTACACTCTTTTTAGAATCTATCTCTTTCTCTTTTCTTTTCCATCCCTTTTACAAACCATAAAACTAAAGCTTTCATTTTTCAACTATTAGCTCAAAATAATCTCTATAATTTGTATAGCTTGAACCAGATAATCCATCCCAGATTCCATCACCGCGGTCATCTGGTTCACCGATACTATCAAAGAGTCTCATGCTTACGTTACTGTTACTAATGGTTTTATTATCTTGGACCACAAAGACCCCAGTCGTGCTTCTAGTTTCCATTCCCATTATCATATTGACGATAAATCTCCTCGTGCTCTGGTGGCTGTTAGCTACATCAGCACTCCTTCATCGTTATTGCCCAGGCTTCGATGATCAACCCCCGACACATTTAGCTTTTGATCTTCGACCATCCTGGTCCTAAGGACCCAACACAAGGGTAAGACACTCGGCCTATAAATATTAAAATAATCCCTAGTTCCCTGATATTACTTCATGATAGAGAGAGATTATGAATAGAATTGATTATTCTCTATGGAAATTTATATGTTTCTTGGTTTAATCCTTCCCAGGATTTAGTATCTCTTCTTCTTCTTTTCTATTCTCTTATTTTTTCCTCTTTTGTCCTATTTTAATTTGGTATCAAAGCCAAATCTCAAATCCAAAGTTATGTTCCTTTCAATTCCAGGTTGTTACTACTATCTGTTAGCCCTTGCGCGATTAAGCAGTATCTGTTTGTCGTGTCCTCACCATTCTCCCACTGACTTCGCCATCGTTTATCATTGCTAGAGTTGCTATTGATTTTTATAGCACTCGGGTTATAATGCTTGGTCCTTCCAACTGTAAAGAAGAAGACACTTGCTGATGGGAATTACAAGTGGATTATGAGACTTGCCCCAATCCTAATCCAAGTTTTTTAGTGGAAAAAAAAAGACTTGACCCTATTTATTTTAAACCTTATATCCAGATTAATCCAACCCATTCCAAAAATAACCCATCATAGACCTTATATGACCTTCACCTGAATTCAAAAAAGGCCCAAGCAACTCCAATTCAGCCCAAAAAGAATGGCCCTCTGACCCCAATCACTAGCCCATAAGCTCTAGCTTCTGAAATTATGTAAACATCCCAAAAAATTTTAGAAATTACATTTCAACCCCTAAATCTGACATTTCAGATTTGCCCCAGTAATTTCTACAATTACATTCTGGCTCCTTATGTCTCAAAAATTACAATTTAGCTCCAACAATTTTTGAAATTACAATTTGCCCCCAAAATTTACAAAAAAAATTTAAATCACTACATCCATCAAGATGGTTCCCAAAGCTAAATTACTTGTCAAACTTGAAGCACATGATGCTAAGCTCAATTCACTCAAAGCATCAATGGGTTCGCTCCACACATCAATAGAATATCTATGTTAGAGTTCTTATTTTTTCCATTAAGTCATAAGTCTATTAGTGTAGGGTAATATTGGAATTACCACAAATATTGTTCAATTATAAATAAGATGGTGGTGTAGGGCAACATAGCTCATACACAATTGATTCTTTATTCCTTGCCTCTTCTTTTCTTTTCTTTTCTTTGTATTTCTCTAACCCTAATATCAATTTATTATTTTCAACTATCTACATGAAGGTGTACACAAGTTGGTTGTCATGTTTGGAGTTATACTTCCAAATAAGAACTTTGGTAACAAGGAAAATATTGATTCATCTTCTTCATTCATTAGTCATCAACAAGTGATTGATCAAAATCTACCTTCAGCGCAAGTTTTGATCCAATTAGATGACAAATTAAAAGCGATTAATGTTAATGAGCCCAAAAGTTCTCATACTAGTCCTGCAACAATTGTTTTTACTAAGTCAATTTCGAAGGTTGTTCCTATAAAAGAAGTTAATCAAGTTTCAAACGGTGTTAGTACACATGAAATTGCTACTTTATCCTTAGTAATAGGCATGCAAATATCCTCTTCTAAAACAGCATTTTGCATAACACACGAGATTCAACCTGACCTATGAGCTTCTAGGCGAAATTGTGCTTTAAACATGCTCATATCCGGATCCGGGTTATAGTTTTGAAAGCCTTAGCCACATCTCGGAAGGATGCTAAGCAAGTCTATGGAGCGAAGGGAAGCAAACTCACTTAGGCAGCTCGAAGGACAGGGAAGGTATATCAATGAATCCCATCCAGAAAAGATAGAAAGGGAGAACCGAGGAGGTGTATGTCCTCTATTTAAGGGATTGTTTATCACTATGGGGATCCACAATACTATTTTCTTGGAACGCAAGCTTCTTCCGATCTCTTGGAGTTTTTCAACATTCACAACTTTTCAGAGAAGAGTTCTTTTCAGCTGAGAAGAATTAATAGAGATCGAAAAGGGATTCGATAAGGTTGAATTGAAAATTTTGAATTTATTATTTATTTTAGTAATATTATTTTAATTAGAAAATATTTGTTTGATTACAATTGTTTGAGTGATTCAAATGTGAGTTTCATTAAAACCAAATTTAGAATTTGATTAGGAATTTATTATAAATTTTTAGCATAATAATAATTTGAAATGTGATTACGAAACTATATAGAATTTTAGTGGGAGAATAATTCTTATTTTGGGAGGAGACTTGGCTATAAATATCTACTGCTTTATAGTAGAAAGACATTATGAATATGAATTGATTATTCTCTACGGAGATTTGTGTGTTTCTTGGCTTAATCCTTACGAGGATTTAGTATCTCTCCTTTTCTATTTTATTATTTTTTCCCCTTCCGTCCTACATCACCCTATGTATTTGAAGATGGGATATTCTTCTATGCAAGTTTTAAATTCCATGGGAATTGATAATCATTATATAACTTCCCGGATGATCTCTAAATAATCTCTAGAAATTGTATAATACTCCCCATATATAGTACATAGGGAATTTTCCATCCGAGTACTTTTCAAATTCATGCGGAAAAATTTAACTTTACTTATTCTGGAAGAAGTGCTGAAACGCTTGCTATGGATATGTCAATGAAATCTCCGTCCCCCTCAAGAAAAGTCTTGATGAAAACTTGCAAGCTTGTCTAGAACCATCCCGAAGATGTGAGCATCCTACTTTTTAGGTTTCTGATAGAAAGGGCAGCTAATGGTGCAACAATCTTATATGCTGCTCCAAAAGAGATTACTTCCAAATGTAGTCAAAAGGACAACAACTATGAAAATTGAGAGACAACCATAACATAACATTGTTTGATATATGGGCACAATCACATGAAATGTGGCATAAATTTCAGCAGAAAAAAGGGGTCCATAGTATGAGAAGTTCAACTCAGCAGGATATATAAATTTAAAAACTCATAGAAATAGAGAAAGGAAGAGGATATTCTTGTGCCTCACGGTGTGGGAGCTCATGAGGTGCTGGAAGAGTGAGAAGACGAGTCTGAGCATAGAATTTCGGGAAATACATTGACAACTCTTTCAAAATTGCAGCTGGAGAAAGATGAAGATCTGGGAATGCAGGTACAACTGGATCATTCTAGCAAATAACAAAGAAGGAAATTATTACTAACAATGGCTACTTACACTTGGTGTTAGGTAAATGAAAATGCTACTATACCTTAAATATGTTGATCAGCCTGTTGATTTTCACCCTCTTATAGAGTGACTCGCTATCTTTCTCTGATGATGTTGCTAAGACAACGAGAACAGGCAGAACACGAAGAAGAACATGCCTCTCGGGAAACAAAAGGGCAAAATCCAGCTCCAGTGACTCAACAGCAAAGACTATGAGCACTTGAAGAATGTCTTCAACACTATTTTGAGTGAAGGAGCTCAAAACAATGAGTCTATTACATTAGAGTATATTGACATATATCAATCATACAGGTACAGTTGACAATTCAACACATTCTAATTTCCTGGGAAACAAAAACAGCAAATGCCAAATGCATGAAATCAACAAAAGCACAGATTTTGTCTCCTTCCTAGGATTTGAATAATACCTCCCCTCCGAAATTAAACCAAAGGAGCATAAAGATGGTCTAGTATAAGACATAGTTTCCACATTAAACATGAGTGTAATTCAACCAATGGCCATAAATATGGTCTAGTATAAGACATAGTATCAACATTGCTATGATGATGGGAAATATGCACTTTTTCCTAAAGATTTTAAGAAATTTTCTAACATAAAATGCAACAAAACTAGTCAAAAATTTATATTCTGTTGGAACAAATTGATCATTACGATGTGCTGCAGAAGAATACATATAAGTATCTCAAAAATAACAATAGATTTCCAATCTTGCAGTAGGAAGGTGTAGATAGGAAATAAACAATTTAATCCAAAACAGAAAGATAAAGAATTGAGCAAAACTGAGTCCACTGCACTACATGCTTGGTCAATTGAAACATTTGATCATCGATTTGATCGCATCCCAATGGTTGATATTGTACGATAAATTTACGGGAACTAACTTACAATAATGCTTTTATGGTTATTCATGATAAATATTTCTCTAGATGATTTGGGGAAAAAATTTACATACTAGAAGTAGGGTATCACAGACTATCGTGGATGGTCGTAACCCGCTATGGCCATTGCATGATGGCATCATAATGGCCTGTGAAGAAGTGAAATTTTTTTCCACAACAAAATCGCAAGCCTAGATTAGCATTACATAATAGCATTAAGACATTAGGAAAAAGTTGCGGCTGAATTTTCAAACCATGCCCTTAATATCGTGTAGGAGAAAGTGTGGACAAAATAAGAAAGTTGAATTTAAAGAGGATACTTGTTTACACGGAACATCTCAACATGCAGGTTCAATAATATTGCCCACCTCGTGCTCAAGAATATCTGGAGAAGTACACAGTGTTCATAGTCAATAGATTGAACCTCTAATGTTTAATCAGACTACCACAATGTGACATTGGCTCAGCAACATTAGGGAGGATCAATTCAAAAAGGCGAGCATATTTTGATGCTGTTTCACGGAGATAAAAAGTAAATCACACAGACATACACCTGTAGGTCGTCTAACTCTTCCCTCATTGAATCAGTATCTTGCCACTGAGCACTGACTTGAGTGAATGTCCTGATAAATCAACAAAGACTCAATTTGTTTAAAGTGAATGTATTTAATTGGAGCCATCATATTACAGAAAAAGACAAGAATAAGAGAAAAGTTTATGCGTTATAGTTAAGCTCATGGTTTCCAGATTCACTAAACCCATGCGACCCACGATCTAGGTCCATCGATCCCAAACGAGGTGAGTTCGAGATCCAAATCACTAAATTGTACGATCCCAAATTGTAATACTAACCCTAAATCAATTCGCATTCGAATAAGTAGTACAAATATAAAATACATAATTGACTACATGCATATAAATTTATAATTGTATAATAGAAAATCAAGCAACATATCAGATAAATGGTAACTGACTCAGTATTTATAGATGTTTTATAACATATAATGTTGTATAGTAGTGAAAACAATCTAGATAAGAGTACTAAAACAAATTGCGACCCAAAATAATGAACCAACTAAACCTACTCCCATCGTACCGCGTACCTAAGAAAATGTCGAACTACGTACCCGTACGCCGTACCACATACCCAAGCGACCCATGATCCAGATAACATTTAAGCCATACTGCTACAAACATGTAATGATGCTGTAGAAACTGTTCTGGCCAGAAGTCTTGTGCTGGCAGTTTACTAATCAAAAATCTCCATTTTTTGGGCTTGGAGCTAGCTCTAAAGAATACTTTAAAGACAATGCTAGAAAAGTTAGCAAATTTTCTTGTAAAATATTATCTACAAACCTTGAACAAAACTACAAGGGGAAACAAACTAGATTAAAAAAATTCAGGATTGTTGCTAAGCCCTAAGCAAGCAAGTTGCAAGACTTGAGGCAAGGATCAAAATATCGTTTCGAAACGGTCGAAACGTTTCCGTTTTCAAGGAGACCGTAACGAATCAGTGATGGACTCGAAATTCTAATATTTCGAAGTATTCCATAATGTTTCGATATGTTTTATAATATTTCAATGCATTTGCCCAATTGTTTCGGAATATTTCAAGATATTTTAAAATACTTTGATATATTTCGATCAATGTTTTAGAAAAAATAATTTTTAAATTTTTTATTTTTTTCATTAAATTTTCAAAATGGGTCGAAATGTTTCTCAAACACATCAAAACATCTCCGTTTCTTAGGTGACCGAAACAATACACCGAAACGAAATTTTGATCCTTGACTTGAGGTACGCAGTAAAATATCAAGCATACCTCTTATACCAAGAGAAATCATTAGGTATGCTCGCTTTTGCATTCTTGAGATGATCAAGTTGAAGCAGAATATCAAGTAGCTTCAACATGGACCTGCAGTAAAGGCAACAAAGGACGAAAAAGGTAAATTCCAAATAACAAATATCAATAAGCCAGACAAGAGCGAACGAAAATTATGAAGTGCAGAGAAATATTGTTCCATATGATGGACAACATCTATTGTTATGCAACACAAACAAGCATGAAAATAGCATGACTTAGTGTACAACCCTGCGCAACAGTAGATGAATTTTCTTTTCCCATTTTTTAGAACAATCTTACACAACCCTGCTACATTTTTGGACCATTTTGCACGATTTACATCATTAACTGTGATGCCAAAATGACCTTGATTACCCTTACGTATAGCAATATTTTAGATAAAAGAATAATATTTCTAAGGAAAAGAAGAAAGCAAGAAAGTACGAAATGGAGGATTACATATTGTCCAAAAAGCGAGAAGAAAAAAAACCACAAAAGAAAACTAAAATAAAAAAGCATTCAATCCTATTAACAATCCAACAAAGGCCCCCCTTTGAAAGTCCCAAATAATAAGGTTTATAACAAAGCGAGGACTAAATTTCCATCAACGTGAACTCTATGGGAGGGGAACGATAAAGAAAGTTTCTTACATTCCTCTCTAACCATCTACCGAAGAATCGTTATCGTTGAACAATTCCAAAGAACCTTAGGCCCTGTTTGGATTATGTTTCAAAAATATGTTTTTTGTTTTCGGGTTCCAAAAATGAGCAAAAACGTGTTTGGGTTGAAAAACATCTCAAGTGTCTTCAGAAATTTATTTCAAAAAGCGGTAAAATTGGGAAAACACCCAAAAAATGTTTTGACCTGTTTTTGAGGTCAAAGTTTTGGCAACTGCAAAAACACAGAGTACTAGAGTATTGTGCACTTATTCCTTGGTATAAAAAGGCCATTTCTTTTTTGTCTCTCCACTCTCATCATTTTCACACTGGACACTCTTCTCATCCTTCCACCAGTACACTGGCTGGATCCAACGCATCGAAGTCTTCTTCAACCAAAGCTCCAGCAGTTCGAAGGCAAGCCAGCAATATCGAAGTAGGATATTGTCATCGTCCAAGCCAACGGTCCTTACCAGCCGTTTGATGGATCTTCTGGTTTTGTTGGTGTATTCTTCAGGTCTGTTATCAAAGTGTTAGATCTATTGAGAAATGTCGCAGATCTGATGAATTTTGTTACAAATCTATATATATAGATGTTAGATCATATGTTAGATCCATGAGTGTATATGGTTATTTGACAATATATGCCTTTGAATCAAGTGTCTTTTGAAAAATTTCTTGAAAAAACCATAAGATTAGATATGGGTTTCTTCTAGAAAAAAATCAACCGAAAGAGTGGATGGCAGAAGTAAGGCAGAACCAAGTGTCTTTTATTAATTGTCTTGAGATTGTGAAATAGTTGTTGAAGAATATGAATAAAGGAAAAAAAATTAGTCCTGCAATTCAATTTACATTGAGTTTGATTTCATAATCCACCAATTTCATAAGCCTCGCTATGTTTGACATGTTGAAAAATTTTCTATGAAATTGACAATCCAAACAACATCTCATATTTTCATTATTTTTTGTGTTACTGACCAAACAAGTTTTATTATTTTCTATTTTGTAGAACTACTTTTAGAATTGCATAACCAAACAAATTTTGCAATACAAAAACACTAAAATACAATTTCTTAAAATTCTTCTCAAAAACATATTTTTGGATACTATTTTTTAAGATACAATTCAAATAGGCCCTTAGCTTCTTTAGTCTACTCAAAAATCCAGAACTTTATCTATAACAACTTCTTTACCATCAATGAACAAATCCAAGGCTCTCTGTTCCCAGCTATGGTATACACGATAGACTTTAAAAACAAAAACACAAATGAAAGTTTAAGTTACAAGCACTCACTCAGCTTTTGTTCCTCCTTCCTCTTTTTTCTCTTTATGTATTACATGGCTTCTTTAATAGCACACTCACCCAGAAATACAATAAACCTCTCATTTTTAATGTTTCTTTTCTTTTTTTCTTCTTTTCTTTTTTCATCCCACAATTTTTGATACAAGAGTGCAGAAATACAATATTATGTCCCTCTCATTTTCTTTCTTTTGCTTTCTCCCATGACAATCTTCTTCCCAATCCTTTTCATCTTTGTTTGATTCTTTTCTCACAGATTAATACTCAAATCCCCCTTCTTGTCCCACACATTCAGTGAATATACCCATTACATGACACATACGGATAGCTTCCCCTTCTCTCACTTTTTCTCTCTTATTCATCCATTAATACAAACCCACCGCTGACACATAGATACCCCTTCTCTTTCTTCCATTTCCTTCTTTCTTCTTTTTCAAGAAAAGGAATATAGGTTCCCAATTTACATGTAAATGTTTGGTTGTTGACATTTTCATCCCATTTACCCTTTGAAATTACAATGTTATTCATTTTCATCCCCACAAAATTACTTCACTAATTGGATTAATTACAAGGTAACAACCAGTATAAAAACTATATTTGAGGTATGCAGATACTCCTCTCAAACGCACCATTACTTTAACAAATTTAAGTAGGGTTACTAAAGGCGCACTTAGGCGCTTGCCTAGGCCCAAGGCATAGTGAAGCCCAATTATAGTGGCTTGCCCTTTCCCGGGAGGCGTCTTCAACTAGCTGTGCACCTCATGGGCTTCCATTTTTCTTTTCTTGATTGTATGTTCACCTTTTATGTACTGATGGCACATGATTTGTTTGGTATGGTATTCAAACTTATTCAGACAACTGAAAAACCCAAAAGAACACTTATTCCCCCTGGTCTCTCTCCCTTTGAGAAATTGATAATTTGTGAGACTTTGGTGCAGACAAATCACGCAACCAACCGACCATGACAAGCTCCACCAAGTCAGTCCCTATTTCCTTTTTCTCCTCTTTCCTTATTCTTTCCTCATCTATTTGGTCTTTATTTTTCATCTTCAATGTCTCCATGTATCTCTCTTTCATTTTTTCTTTTCAATCTTTATGTTTATCTCTACAATTATGAAGCTTTGAAACCAATTTCTCCTAATTCTTTACAAACCTTTTCATCTTCTCTTCATCAAACAAGAGACATTGGACTTGAAAGGGAAGCTATTTTGGTTTTTTTTATCATAATTTTTTCTCTTTCTGATTGGTGTCCAAACGTTCGACTTGGTGGCCTATTCTGATTCATCCCTCATATCTTCTATTTCTGATTACGCAACCAATCTTTGGACTTGGGGGAGCTTTCTGATTTTGTAAGGTTTCATCTTCTTCTCCTTTTGGTTTTTTTTTTTTTTTGTTAATTTTTCTAATTAGAAAACTCATTTATTTTATTTTCGCCTTGAAATTCGGTAGTGAAGAAAGTAGAGAAAAGTTGTACAATCAGTTCTAACTAGTATTTCAACCTACTTTTTATTTTTATTTACAATCGCGCAGAAAGTAGAATTTTCTGGAACGTATCAATAAGCTAAACCCATGCTACGAATTGTTCATTCCCTAAATAAACACTAACACTCAAGAAATCCGCTGAGCAGGTAGATTCACATCTCTTACAACCGACATGGTCTTTGTTCTTGAAGCGAAAGCAATTTATTTAGCTTTACAGTCATCCAAAGGTATCATTTCTAATACATCGGGGGGCAGGCGTGGACACATTGAGTACACCTTATACATGTATGATGTATCATAAATTTTTACTGAATGTGACATTGGATCTATCATTTTTGAACGTCATAAATTTTCGCTCCAGTAAACTTAGATTGGGTTCATTATGTTAGAGAAACCATGTCGGGAGTATGCTCCACTAAGGAGCTAGGAGATGGATCACTTGATCAGTTGGGGGGTGATTTCTAGATCTAGTGATAGAGGTGGTCTTGCAATAGATAACTAAAAGGCGAGAAATATTCCATTAGTGGGTAAAGGGTTGTGAAGGTTTTCCTTGAACATAAATTCTCTTTGGTATTTAGTTATCAAGAGCAAAGATGGGTTACAAGCCAACGGACGAGATGCTAATAGGGTTGAAAGAAGTAGTTTCCAATGTCCATAGAAATTCATTTCTCAAGATTGACAAAGTTTTTCCAAAAATGTAAGGTGTAAAGTGAGTTATGGGGAGAAAATTTGCTTTGGGGTGGATGTTTAGGTAGGAGTCTTCTTTTTCATATTTGTTCCCAAGTCTCTATTATTTGTCTTGCTTTCATGGTTCTTCCATTTCATTTCAGCTCAAATCATATCAATATCCGTATTAATATTGATGATAGAGACACCATTGTAATCTTGAAGATAGGAGTTTCAAAAGAATTCAAAGGAATTCCACTTTTAGCTATCATAGCGGGATGGAGAGCTATCATTGTTCCTTCCAAAATAAATAAAATGGTTTGCTTAAATTTTTAACCATGTCATTACACAATTTGTTGAATTGTTTAATTTGCTTGAAGCCTTGCTGCCTGAGATACTGTTTAATTGCTGGTAATTGTAATTGCTTAATTTGATAGTCACCTGTCTCTTTTGACTTTTGCCAATATTAACACTTATATTTGTTGTTATGGACAACATGTGCCTTGCTTTGACAAAACCTGCACCTCGCCTTGATGTGCCATTTTGCCTAAAACACAAAATTAAATACAAAATAGGTAAAGACAATAAAAGCATACCAGAGATGACTTATAGTGGGACCATTGATGCGTCGCTCAGGCCTAGAAAAGCGTTGCATATCAGCTGCCAGCTGCATTTGAAGGATAACATGTAGAGTAGATCATACCAACAAGCTCTAATATTCGTGGGATGATGAAGATAAAGGAAATCAAAGCTCATACTTTAGATGCAGCTGATGCTTGCCATCGCTGAATTTCTCGCAGACGACTCATTTCCAAGTCCAGCACTTGATACGTTTCCATATACAAGTCAGCCTGATTTTGCTTCATAGAATCTGGAAGCTGCAACATTATGTATACATCTTATATTTACAGTTTGTACAACAGAAGTGCAAGGAAATGAAACAATGAGGGACCCAGTAACTTAGTTGTGCATGTCGTTTGAATAAATGTCAACCAGTAAGAAAAAAGGGTAGCTTCTCTTAGATTAAACAAGAGCCACAAGCATTCTACATGTAAAAGAAAACTGCCAAGAGATGTCCTATATATGCAAGGAAGGGGGTGGTTAAGAAAAGCAGGCAGCAAGTGAAGAAAAAAATATAAGTTCGGAGCAGAGATACAGCAGAAGGGTAGAAAGCATGGACACTAGCCCAGGGGTGCCGTGGCAGTGTCAGGTACGTGTTCGACACAGACACTCGTCATAGACAGCCGGACACATGTCCAATATGAGTTAGAAGTATCCTGAATAGTAAACTAAGTCAAACACGATATGCAAATAATACAAAACTCACATGAATCAACCTTGACTCGGCTACAACTCGGTGGTATCGGCATGAATCGGATTCGAATCGGTTGACTCGTACCGAGTTAGACCAGTCAGACCAATAGAACAAGATCTCATAAACTAAGCAATATGTGCGGGCATGATAGACCAACTTCATCCAGGTTGTTTCAACCAGCCATTAATTTTGATGGCCAAAATCAAATAGTTTGTTGTGTTGGTCACTCGATACCGTTCAGTTCACCCCAAATATGTGTAGGACATCAAGTAGAATAGATATAATTTATATAGAATGGGTTCGCCTACATTAATAAAATTCATATAATTCTTTGTTGTCAAGTGAAATTGTGTTCAGCAAAAATCCAAAAATTTGTGCAAGAAGTAACATCCAGAGATATGACCATAAATTAAAGGAGTTTTGTGGTTGAGCTTGGCAGAAATTAAAGGCACAGCTGTGCTCATGCCGACTTCTCCACGTAAAGACAGCAATGGAAGTAGGGAAAACCAACAACATCAAACCCAAGTCCAAAAAAATCATAATGACATAAAGTTATCTGTGTTGTTCCAAAGCTCAAGATGGTACAATAAATAAAACAGCAGAATATGCATTATGACATGCCCTATGATCTATCATTTGCCAAGTCATTCGTTACACATTACCAGTTTAAATTTTAATCTGTTGGACATCACAATTAGCAGATTTGACTTACATTATGAAAGGTATTTTTTTTATGGGACATTGTGAAAGGTACTTGATCCCTACCAAGTGTGGGCAACAAGAGTGTTGTGTTTATCTAACTTTGATGGATGAACTAAACGACAGAAGTAAACTCACTAGAAAAGAAGTGACCGTATGGGCAGCCATAAGACAATTAATTAAAGACCTTGAATAGTAAACGCATACCTTGTTCCTGCCACTTACAGCTCATGTTAAGGCACTAGCACCAAAACATTTACAATGTTGATCTAGTAAAAGTTAATTTCAGGGCACATAAAGCATCAAATATACTGTAAGACTAAGATGCTCACTTGGATGCATACATATATGTTTGAAGTGTACAAATCTTTCAAGCAATAATTCCCACATTACTCCAAGGAAGAGTTTGAGAAAGACTCAACCACAATGACAAAATAATGTCTTACTATAAACCTGAGGAAGTGCTTTGACACAACTCCGATATGTGTATAGCACCGATCCCATTTCATTCCCCTCTTGAATAAGCGAATTCTGCACATGTTCCATTATTGAACATTGAAAATTCATTAAGTGAAAACAAAATCAAAGAAAATTACATAAGTTATGACTTCATACTCTAGGCACAAAGAAAGCAATCATAAAAAAGTCTAGTATTTCAGAGAGAGAGAGTGAACATATAAAAGAACTGCATACCAGCTGATTGAGAGCTTTAGTGTCTTCTGATAAAGATAGGCGGTATGCAGAAACGTCACTATACTCTTCAAAAGAAAAAAAAATGTCTCTTATTTTGGGAGTTGATAGAAACAAAGAGTACAAATTGCCAAGATATGCTAATAAGCTGTAGAAAACTCAAAGAAATACAAATATTGTTGGCCTTGTTAACCACTCTTTCAACCTCGAAAACCCTACTTCAACGGCCTGAATCATTCCTCAATTAAATATTATACCTTTAAAAACCCAACATGCACTAAAAAGGAGGCCCCCCTCACACCCAAGAACAACATCTATTTCAGCCCCTAAACTCCATCCCATTAACCCTGATCAACCTTAACCAAATCCAATACTTTTTGGCCTTTGATTTGACACCCAATCATCACATTTGGAGGCTCTCCATAATTTCCATCGTAACCTTACTCCACCACAAAACCAATAATAGGCTACACAATCCCAGGTTTCCTAACACTATCCTACATGAAAAATAAAACTTTAATTATTCTTTTAGATTAGTCTACATCAAAAACATCTAATTCATATTTTTAACTTTCTTAAACTTTACTCGGTACTATGCATTATGAGAAAGCATGGGCTTGTGTACAATTGTTGTCTCCTTCTCTCAACCTCTAACTAACTCAAAAAATTCACCCTTCCCACTTCTCATTCAACCACACATCTTACCTGTCTCTCATTCTTACGCTCCGCCTCACTCTTCCACATCTTCTACAATAATATAAAAGATCTTATAAAATATCAATCGAAAACAACTTTAAAAGTTGCAAAAAACCATCTTATTAATGATGAGTGTATGGTGCACTTCCTATGTTTTTCATTGCAAACATTCCTACATTTCTAATATGTTCAAAATGAGCATATTTAGCCACATACCAATTGGACTATTTGTTGACCCTCTTTCAGTGGATACCCAAACTCCTGGACCTTGCACCTCTGGCTGATCATCCTGCACAAAATATTAAGAAAATGCCGTCAAGTCTATGATATAGATGAATCAAAATTGATGCACGTAATTGCATTAAAAGTAGCTCGCTTTCTCATGTAAAATTTATTGAACAAAACCCTTGAATCCAGATTAAACTACGATTATGTGAGAGGGTCGTTACCCAGTACGATCCCATTAATCAAAGGGACTTGGAGAGATCGACTGGGTACTCACATTGATGTTATCTAAGCAACACTTTAATAAATGCACTAGGAGAGATCAGCCGTAATCTTTGATATTATTTATACAAAATGTTAATCTCGTATTCAGACCCACAAGGTCACAGTTGTTACCATGCAATGGCTTCTATGTATCTGTAATGAGACAATGAATTTACCTCCAATGAAAATGTGGATAAAGCAGCAATGGCTTCTTCAACCGGAACAGCCATTAGAACTTTGCTGAGCAAGCTTCAGCGTCTGCGTCAGTCTCTCTCCTCACTGTACGAAGCTCGGAATCTAAGTGCTACAGTCTTCGACTATCCTCTGCACTCCGAACAAAGAACAAACTTCCAAAATTAGACATGGAGTTGTCCAGATATTACCTTGCTGTCATACTGACCTACCAGAAGGAAACACAAGGCTATTTTTATGACTGCTGCATTTTAGTGCGCTTCGCTTCACTTTTACGTCAAGTAGTTGTCCATCATCGCAACTAAGCTTTTAAATTTAGAGCAATGCTACGTGTATTTAAAAAATAGGTTAATCTCATTTTACATCTTAAAATATTGTTTAAATTTTAATTTATATTCTTAAAGATCAAAAATTTTAATTTGTACCCTCAAAAATAAAAATTTATATCAATGTGCATCTTCAAAGATAAAAAATTTCAATTTGTACCCTCAAAGATATAAATTTGTATCAATGTGCACCTAAAATTAAATTAATAAATTATACCTAGATCCCCTCATGTTTGTCACTTAATCATTTGAACTCCTTCACATTTAGAATATTCTCCTTACATCTCATGATGTTTGTGCATGTATAACACATAACCACTTTTCGTTGATATCTGTTAATATAATCGTTAAAAAATATGATTTTATCCTAATAAAAAATTATAATTCCATATTACCTTTATTTTGTGGATTCGATAAACTCTAAAGTTGAAAATCAAGTTTACTATTTGAATGTCTAATAAAATGTAAATATATTATATAAAATTATATAAATATTTACATTTTATTAGACATTCAAATGGTAAACTAGATTTTGAACTTTAGAATATATTGAACCCATAAAATAAAGGGTAATATGAAATTATAATTTTTTATTAGGATAAAATTAAATTTTTTAACGGTTATATTAATAGATATCAATAAAAATGGATTACGTGTTATACGTGCACAAATGTCATAAGATGTAGGAGTAATATTCTAAATGTGAAGAGGTATAAATGATTAAGTGACAAGTATGAGGGAATCTAGGTATAATTTATCAATTTAGTTTTAGGTGCACATTGATATAAATTTCTATTTTTAAGGGTGCAAATTGAGATTTTTTATCTTTGGGGTGCATATTGATATAAATTTATATCTTTGAGGGTGTAAATTGAGATTTGTGATCTTTGGGGGTGCACATTGATACAAATTTCTATCTTTGAGGGTGTAAATTGAGATTTTTGATCTTTGAGGGTACAAATTGAGATTCGAACAATCTTTCAGGGTGCAAAATGAGATTAACCCTAAAAAATATACTTAAAAATTATATTTTATAATCTCAATCATTGATTTAACTGTGAGTCCTTGTATTTATTGAGACCTATTACTTATTTAATGGTTAAGATTATCAAGTCTAATTTTTAAGTTTATCTAACTTTACTCTTAAATTTAAATACGATTATAGTTGGATTGTAGGTTAAAGGTAAATAATTTTGGTATCTTTAAAAAAATATATGTGGGATATATATGTTTTATGTTTGATAAGTAAAAAATGTATCAAAAATTTCATTAATGTTACAAATATATTTTATATAGATATGGATGAACTCTAGCCTAGCAATTTAATAAGTGTTAGTATTTGACTTTATAACTCAATCTAGAGTTAATATTATATTTGATGATCATTATAATTTGAAGTCTATAAAAGAAGGTCCTCATTGTGAAATATACACAAGTTGAAAATTTTTTCTATAGCATATATATTCTCTTTGTAATCTATATAATTCTTTTACTTTCACAATATGTTATCAGCACCAATAGCTCAAGTATTGTTCAAGTGAATTTGATGCTCAGGTATTGTTCAAATGAATTTGAGAGAAGTGTTAAATTTCTATTCTATTTGGGCATAAAAATTTTGAGTAAATTTCTTTTAAGAGAATCAATTTTTTTTTATTCTATAATTGTCCATGCACAAATAAAAGAAGTTTGGTTACATGTTTTACCCTCTCGAAAAGTATTTGGTCTTTATATTACTGCCTTTGGAAGAGAGAGTAATAGATTATTATATATAATTCTTTTAACTCGCCTGAATACTATTAGAATTATGCATGAGATTTTTTTTGGTTAAGTTCTCTACATTCCTATTTTGAGTTCCAATATTCTTGTGTTTATTTATTATTTGTTTTATTTTCATGGTTTGAATAATGTGCATAACTTAAGATTGCTGCTCATAATGTTTTGGGTAACAAATATCTTTCTTGGATCCTTGGGGCTGAGATCCACTTGACAACTATGAATTTTTGGTGATACTATTAAAGAAGGAAATGGCGCATCCCTGTAGGATCGCGCAAAGACAATAATATTCCTTCGTCATCACCCTTCCAAATGATCCACTTGTCTTTTGAGATAAATTAAAGGAACAATATGACCACCAAAAAACCGTTATACTTCTAAATGCTCGACATAAATAGATGTACCTATAGTTGCAAAATTTTAAAAAGGTGAACGATTATAATTCGGCACTATTAAAAATTAGCTCACAATGGACACTATGTGATGAAATAATTGCTGATAAAGACATGTTAGAGAAAATATTCTCTACTTTTCATCCCTTTAATATGCTCTTGCAGTAGCAATATAGAGAGTACAGGTTTACTAAATACTTTAACCTAATATTATGTTTTCTTGTGGTTGACCAAAATAACGAACTTTTGATGAAAAATCATGAATCTCGCCCAACCGATTCTACTGCATTTCCTAAAAGTGAATGTCACCTCATATCATGGTCATGGAAATAAACGTGGGCGTGATCGAAATGATAATCGACATTGTGGTCATAACAATACACCTCACCACCGGAAAATGGGTAAACAAAGATGTAGAGCAATATAAAGAGAAGGGTTTGCTAAATAAACCGCCCAAGAACTATGAAGAAGTTTGCTAGAAGTGTGGTGTGAAAGGACATTGGTCACATACTTGTCGTACGTCCAAACATTTGGTGGACCTTTACCAGGAATCCATAAATGAAGTTGGTACACTTGAAGAGACCAAAGAAAAATATACAATGAAAGTTGCATAAAAAAAGTTGGCACCCCTGAAAAGACCACACCTATAAAGTAGGAAACATAAATATTGATCAGTTCAAAGTTAGTAAACTAATATCTCCTGAAGAGGCATCTCCTACAAAGACAAAGGTACCTAACAATAATGAGATTTCAAGAAGTTATGTACGTATAAAAGAAAAATGAAACCCTATTTCTATCGTTAGGGGGAGAAAATTTGTCGCCTGAAAAACGATGTGAATTTTCTTACACGCCTAAAGCATGGTCGACACATGGGTTCAAAAGATTTAGCTTCTAAAGGGCAACTACATACAACTTAAGAAAAAGTTGTAGAAAATGAAAATGTACCCACATCATCTCAAATAATAACTCCTGAACAGGAAAATCCCTAAAGAGACACAAACTCTTGAAGAGATATAGATATTTGCAAATGAATAAATTTCTATTAAGTATGAATACATAGATGAGGTGTGGGATCACACAAAAATGATCATCAATAATATAGTAGCTACTGAAATCTTGACTGACGATCTTGAACTACACATAATAGATGATTTTTCAACATCGACATGATTGGCTGAAATGGCAAGAAGCAATCCAAGTAGAATTGCATTATCTTGCAAAGCATGGAGTGTTTGTATATGTAGTCCTAGCACTTAATGATGTTAAATCTGTTGGTTATAAATATGTTTTTTGTGAAAAAAAAAAAAGAAAAGAATGACAAATATGAGATCACAATATACAAGGCACGCCTAGTAGCGCAAGAGTTCCTATAGAAACTTTGGATTGATTATGAAGAAACATATTTACCAATAATTGATGCAATTACATTTCGGTATCTTATTAGTCTGGCAATCTCAGAATGACTCAACATACGTCTTGTGGACATTGTCATTATTTATTTATATGGAAAGTTAGATACTTATATTTATATGAAACTCCCTGAAGGATTGCAATTGCCTAAAGCAAACACATCGAAATCATGCAACATGTACTTAATTAAGCTAAGACAATCCTTATATGGATTGAAACAATCTGGAAAAATGTGGTATAACCATCTTAGTGAGTACTTGGTAAAAGAAAGGTATGTTAACAATCTCATATGCCCATGTGTATTTATTAAGACATCAGATTTTGGATTTGTCATCATTGTAATATATGTTGATGATATGAATCTGATTGGAATTCTTGAAGAGTTGATAAAAGCTGCTGAATATTTGAAAAAGAATTTGAGATGAAAGATCTTGGAAAAACAAAGTACTATCTCAACCTGTAGATCAAGCATACATTAAATGGAATTCTTAGTCATCAAACAACCTATATCGAAAAGGTCTTGAAGCGGTTTAGCATGGATAAAGCATATCAATTAAGTACTCCAATGGTTGTTCGATCTCTTGATGTCAATAAGGACCATTTTTGTCCTAAGGAGGAAAATGAAATGCTTCTTGGTCCTAAAGTACCATACCTAAGTGCAATTGGTGTTTTGTTATAGTTAGCACAATGTACTAGGCCTGATATAACATTAGTAATCAACTTGTTGGCAAGATTTAGTTCTACACTAACTCTATGATATTGGAATGACGTAAAACATGTTCTACGCTATCTTTGTGGAACTGTAGATTTGGGTTTATTATACTCAAAACAATCAGTCAAGGGTCCACAATTAGTTGGATATGCAGATTTTGGATACCTATCAAATCCTCACAAGGCTCATTCACAAACTGAATATGTTTTCACATGTGGTGACACAACGATCTCATGGCGATCTATGAAATAAACTTTGATTGCTACATCTTTCAATCATTCTGAGATACTTGCACTCCTTGAAGTGAGCCGTGAGTGTGTGTGGTTAAGATCCGTAGTCCATAACATCTGAGATACTTATAGGCTTCCTTTGATTACAAATTCACCAACATCCTTATATGAAGATAATGTTGCTTGCATTGCACAAATTGAAGGAGGGTTTATCAAAGGTGATAGAACTAAGCATATTTCGCCGAAGTTCTTCTACACTCATGAACTCTAGCAAAATCATGAAATTGAAGTAAAATAGATACGATCTATTGACAATCTTGCAAATCTATTCACTAAAGTTTTACCATC